CTCCCCCTCCCCCTCCCCAGACCGCGAGCAGCCACTGTAGTCCCAGAGGAAAGACTGGACAATTCGGCGAGCGTGGCTGTCACTGTGCCTGTTGCTCTGCCCCACCCTCCACCATCACTCCACATCTTACCTCCTACTCCCGAACTCCACCGTGCTCACTGGGGTCCTCCCACACATCTGTCCATTTCAGTGCCCAAACACAAACCAGTGGAACTGTCCCTCAGTTTGCCTGAGCGAAGCAGCTCAGAAGAAGTCTCCCCGCTCACTCTGGGGTCCACTGACTCGGACGAAATAGACCAATCATTATCAGATTTAACGAGTGAGAAACACAGCCCCGTCAGCCCTACAAATATCCCTCCCCTCCCCCTGGTTCTTCCCGTTGCTTCCAGCGATGACAACAACAACCCCAGCGAGTCACAGATCTGCGGTGCGTTGGACAGCCGTGGCGATGCCGATGGGTCGTCCAGCCACAGCGCAGACAGTATTGACTTCTTCAGCGCCAGGGAAAAGTTTCTGGGCCTGTCCCAAGACGGCAGATCCCGGACACTGTCTGAGCAGGCGCAACAAAGGACATCTTTGTCACTCGAGGAAAATGGAGAACCTGAGGCTAGGGAAGATGAGGAGCAGGGAAATGGCATGAGTCAGGTACGGGATCAGCATTTCGTCTTAGTTAGTGTAACTTCTTATCCAGAAAGCCGTTCACTTCTTGCACCTGTGGGTGTACTGAACAGCGTCTGTGTGCATGTTACAGTTTTCCATGCAAAAGTTGCCCCAGTCTGCTCACACAGCTGTCACTGCAGCATGCTTTTTTAATATTCTGGAAAAGCATATTACATTTAAAAGGGCGAAAGCCATTCAGCTGCAGAAAAGGGACACATTGTGATATTATTTTAGCCAAACATCATAAAATGAAGTTACAAACAGAGTCCTTCCTTCTATCAGTCATCATCTGGTAGGGATACTGGAGCAGGTTTTAGCTTTACAGTAAGTAGTGTGTTGTCAAATCAGTGTGTAGTTGGTCACTCCCAAGTTTAGGTTGATCTGTGTAGCACCATTTCATACAAACACACAAGGCTGGGATATAAACAGCAGATAGCAGTCCTTGTAAGTAATCAGACTGGAAATGAAACTGGAATCTGACCAGACCAGTCTACAAGCTAACAAATGAACTGAGTGAACTAAATCTGTATTAATCACAGTGACACCTGCTGGAAGTAGTACGATAATGTGGGTACATTTATCACCCACTATGTCTCCTCTAATTTTCTCATTTTCTATCGCTCTGTCGAAGCAATGCAGTTTTATGTAGAGTTTAAAAAGTTATTTATATTTATTTATGTTGCTTATAATAAAGGGAAGACTGTCAGTGCCTCACAAATCCGCTAACAATACAGAAACACTACAGGACTTTGACTGATTATCTCCATGTGTCTCTCTCTCGTTCTCTCTCTCTCTGTCTCTCAGGCGTCTCCACAGTCTGAAGACGGCGTCGACAAAGCCAGCCCTGACCGAACTCATCACCCTCACCACGACAACGGAGTGTCAGTCCGCCATATTGTCACGGAGATTGAAGCCATATGCCACCCTGCCTCCTGCGTTCCTACTCCCTCCTCCTCCTCTTCGTCGCTCCCTCCGTCCTCCCACAGCCCTCAGCTCGTCCGACCGGAACCTCAGACGGAGGCCGAGACCAGTGAAGTCACGCACGGCTCTCTAACCCCACCTCCGCACCCGCAGCCTCCCTCCGTGCTGTCGTGCGACTGGCCGGCGGGCTCGGTGCGGCGAGCCACCAAGCAGCTGGAGCAGAAGCTGAGGCAGGAAATGGAGATGGCTGCCTCTCAGCGATCCCCCCTGCATTCCCCCAGCGCTGAACACCCTCCCGTCAGACTGTCACCGTGTCCCCTGAACACTGAACATCCTCCCCTTCACTTCCCTCAGAACTCCACAGAACAAAGGATCACTCAGGGAGAGATCACGGCTGTATCCGCTCAGTCCAAAGACAGAGAGAAGCATAGCGGGTCACAAACGGAGCTTCAAAGACTCGACTCCGCCTCAGGCACACACAACCTACCGAACCCTTCATGCTCCCCTGACTCAAATATCAGCCAAGTCTCTGGTGCTATGCCTACCATTGATAGCCATATGCTGACATCATCACTGGCTTCTACTAGTCAGTTGGAAGAATCATCTCTAGATACCTCAGCCCAGTCCCAAAGACACAACCAGCCACAGCAGACCCTGCCCCAGGCCTGTTCAAACCAAATGACTCTGGATGGAGTGACAGTGCAGGAGTCTGACACAGAGAACACCGATAAGAGCCTGGAGTGCAGCTCCCAGGACGAGCGGGGGGGCTGTGGGGCCCGCTGCGATGCCCACAGCAGGCTGGCTCGTGGCAGCCAGGAGCTGGAGAGGATTCAGCAGACGCTGCAGGAGCTGCAGGCCTTCCTCCATGAGGGCGTCAGCCTGGAGACGACAGACACACAGGACCAGGAGGTGGTCCAGCCTCAGGGCCTGAGAGACGTTATGGACACGGAGCCGGGACCTTGTAAAGGGACGAGTCCTGAGCAGACCACTCTTGGCCTGGAAGTAGGCCAGCGGCTCCGAGAGAAGCAAGAGAGGAAGAGCTTCCTGGAGCTGGCAGGGTGGCACAGAGCCATGGAGCTCGAGGCCCGCATGCGGCAGGCAGGCCTCACCCCCCCCTCTCTCATGAAGCGGTCAGCCTCCTTGGCTAAACTGGACTGTCTGGAGCTGTCAGCCAATGACCTCAGCGACTTGGACCTGAGGCCGCACAGCAGGACGCCCTCATCACACTCCCAGGACTCTTTCTCCAAGTGCCTGTCTCACCCTGACGACACCTGGAAGAAGCAGAAAGTGTTGGCCCGAAATACTTGTGTCGAAAAGACCGGTTTGTCCCACGGGGGCGGGGGTCTGGACGAGTCGTCCTCCTCACCCTCCCTCTGCTTCCCCCCCACCCCTCATCCAAGAGATGACACGGGTGAGAGGGAGGAGCCAGAGGGCAACGCGGTCGCTGCAACGCGTCAGCAGGGGAGGGGACACTCGTCGAGACGCTCTCGCAAAGCGTCTGCTGAGAAAAAGCAGCGAGCTGTCACTGTGCTATACAATACCATGTAACCTCAGTGCAATGGACTGGAACGGACACGACTGGAGCTGCGCAGATGTGTGAAAGAGGCTGCATGATGCGGGTGAATGTGTAGCAAGTAAACTGTAGACTGTGTAACCTCCGACGTATGTATAGTGTGTACGAACTGAATGATGAACATGTTTGCATGTAAACCACTGGATGTGTTGTTTCAATTGGAGTTCAGGTCTGTATGTACAGTAATGTAATATGAATGTCCAAACGAAGACTGAACCGGTGCATACTGTATGCACCCCGTTGTGTCTGTCTCACTTTTTTTAAGAAGCGTTTGTTTTCAGTGTTTGACCCTCGATGCCTGTTCAGAGTTTCTAAGACTACAAGAGGGGCTTTTTCTCCAAACATGCACTTTACTATTTAGATGATTTTCTTTTATTTGAAATCTGTTTCTTATCCCGGGGAGGATTCTTTTGCACTGATCTCAGTAGACTTGTCTCTGTATGCTTGTTTTTGTGTTCAAAGTGGACAGACGTGTCTTTATTCAGATTTTTAATTAAACCAGGACAAAGCTGATATCTTGTTTTGTTTTTTTTATTCAGTGCTTTAGCAGTAAATAAATATGGTGAGTTTGTTTTGACTCCAGTGACTCTGTACATTTCATCTCACACATAGCATTGGCTTTACTGCCACCTGCTGGCCAGGCACAGAACTACAGACTTTAACATATCCTCAGGCACCAGAGAAGGTGGAAAAGAAAGTCAATGTGCTGAAAGTGTAACTCTATTTAAATACTTGGAGTGCATGCTCGAATAACCAACCAGGCCTCCAGTTTTCCATTTGAACTGGTGAAAATCAAGGTCATAACTTTATTATTGATAAATAAATTCTACCTGTAATTTCCAACTGAAAGTCTCTTCCTTTGAACAAGTCAATCCCGTCTCCTAGGGGAAACTATCTCCATCAGTTCCCTGTGCAGCTAATTTCAGGCTGACATTTTACCTACCGTTTCATGTGGGTAATTAAACACTGAGATGTAGGCCACCGGGGCCCCTGCTGAGACACACACACACACAGACACAGATCAGATAGCAGCACTGACCGTAAAAGAATGACATTAAAAATGACCAGACTTAATAAAAAAATAACAATAAATCAGCTATAAAACGACATTTTCAATTTTCTCATTTCCTGTGTTGGAGTGTAAGAATACCAAAGGCTGTGCTGGTCTGAGTGAATCAAGAGGAAAGCTAAAATCCCTTGATGATTTCACAAATTAAATCCACTTCAGTAGACAGAGCAGATGGGTTAAAGAAGGGCTTTTTTTACACCGTGTGTGTTCCAAGTTGAACTGTCGTGAACATGGAAATGGTGAGGAATAAAATCAGTGGAGCAGAAGAGAGAGGGTTACAGCGGGTGTTTGTCTCCCAGGGTGAGATTGGCGTCCTTCTTCTTTGCATACTGATGCTCTCAGCCACTCTGTCTCTGACACACACCTTGTTTTGTGTCTGTGGCTCTTTACAAATTCACTTCACACACCCCTGCAGCCCAGCGCTTCCATCGTCCTGATGTTATTCATAATGTCGGGCTGAGTCAGGGCAGTGGAGAAGTTGTGGCTGCTGATTCACTTGGAAAATGATTTCATTTTCTCCCTTTTCTCTTCAACCCACCACAGAGTGCAGAGAGCACTGGGGTGCTCTGAGTGGTATTTCTTAGAGGGTTTAGAGTCTTTAAGCTGTCCCTTTGCTCCCTGTCAAGCCTAAAATAACGCAGGCAAAACCCCCCCTTGGATCAGGCTGAGGCGCTGGGAATCCATGTCACCAGGAGGATGATGGAGGTGGAAGCTGCTAAAAACAGATCAGCTCTCTCTGGTGCCGACTGTGCTGCAGCTCTGCCTATCTTGTGAGAAATTAATTGCTTTTGTCACCGTCCGTCACTCGAGAGAACCACAAAACCAACTTACAGTGGAAGGCTGCAGGTAGAACTCAGGGTGTGTGTGGGGGGGGTCAAGGGATTTAAAGCACGTGGAAGCTGTAGAATAAAACTAGATAAAAAAAACAACCCACTCATGCGTTGCTGCTCCAAAAGATGTTTCTTTATTTGAATCATTATCTGAACTCACTTCCCAGAATACACCATGAAAACATCTTGCTGCATCTCTTTTCTGCAACATTTTTTAAAAAGTAAAAAAAGGAATATTTTTCTTATCAACCAGGCAAGCTTAACTATGAATTGGAAAGAAGCCTGAGGTGGTTCTCCTCAGTTTGTGCTGATATTGGAGTGTGAAAGTTTTACATTACTTTCAAAGAATTAACAAAGAAAAAAGAAACAAGCTGTCCCTGTCCATCATCGCCCCTCGCAACAAAACATTTGTGTTAGCCCTGCAATATGAAGTTACTTACAATTATGAAAGCCAGGATTTCAACAATCTTTTCCATCCGAGAGCTGAATGCTTTTTTTTTGTTTGTTTTTTGCCGCTTTTGGATTTGCTTTTGTTTTAGAGCATGTTGTGTTATGTAACCAATTTGCTATCGGGGTGCAATAACCTAAAATTGCTGTCAGTAGCCTCTACAGTGATTCTTGCAGGGTACATCTTCCTTCAGAGAGCGTGCTCTGATATTGCAGGTCTCCAGGCTAGAATCGAGTCAGACAGAATGAACCTCACACGGGTGCAGACCATGCTGAAATATTGTACACACACTGTACCATGACTACACAGAAATACAGAAATCATCCGCTCATGTAAGGTGAGAAGATGCAAATATACAGAAAATATCTTTTAGTAGCATTTCTATTCCACAATCCACTTATAAACCACTATCATGTCCCTTTATTGTTTGTATTACACACAGGCCTGCCACAAACTCATTCACAGTCACATACAGGTTAGATAGTACACCGAGTCTTCATCATCACATCTGTGCTCCTGCAGCCTAACGTCAGGCTAAAACTAAAACTGGCCTGAGTTTAGTTTTGTGCTCAAACTTGTCGTCTACGTCCATTAACAGTCATATACGTGATCCACCCACAAGCTAAGTACAGTACGTCTGGATTTTGTGCAAATCAAATAAAATGTACCAGTCCGTGTTTTTTTTTTAAAATTAGTTTTCATTACAAACTGAGGAAGTCAGATGGTTTGTCGACATTCAACTCAACTTGACCAAGAAGGTTTAACGGTATTCTCCACACCACTGGTCCCTGGATGGTTCACTGCTCCTTTTACACAAGCTGTTTTTTGTTTTTTTAAATCACAGTTAAGACTGAAAACCACACGACTCAGTGGCAGAAGGTGTGTTAGTGCTGGAGCAGAGAGTTGGCCAAACACACTATGTTTTCAGGACAGTGGGTCATCTGTTGACCCCTGTGCGGAGAGCTGGTTTTGAAAAACAAACACACACACACACACACACACGCACACACACGCACACACACGCACACACACACACACACACACACCACACACACACACATACCTGCAAACAGGACAGAAATCACTCATCCAAGGAGCATTCCACTAAACTTTTTGTATTGGATGCTATTGTTGTTCGTAAACTGGCACTGGGTCAAGAAAGTGACCGGCGTGGCACCAGAAAAGAGGAAACTGAAGATCCCTCTCTGGCTGCTCTGAGCGGCGGACAGCCACATCACCATATGGCCTTCATGGGAAAGGTCTGACTAACGCGATGGGAGAGAAAAGAGAAGGCCGATTTGGATCGTATGAAACCACTAATATCATTTTTCCAGCCACTTACAGAGTGTGCTTTAAGTTTTAAAGGTTGCCTGTGCTGCCTTTTTCTTCCCCATGTTGTCCTTGGTCCAGACCCCCCCCTTTCAGATCCCTGCTGGGCACTTTCAGCCTCTCATTTCTCCATGAGGTGACAGCTGGCATAATGCGCTGTAGCTCCTCTTCCTCTTTGCCGGCCGCCCGAAGCTCCCGCCTCTTCCTGCTCCCGAGCTGAGAGATTCTCCATGGCGATGCGCAGCTGCTCGCTTTTAGCTGCAACGTGGGGGTGGGCTTCTTCTGAGGGGGGTGGCAGCAGAGGCTGGAGAAGCGGGGCGGGCTTGTGCTGGGTCCTGGGTGGGGAATAGTGAAGGACGACAGGGGGAAGTGTAAGGTTAAGGTCACAGTGGATTGGGAATTTCCAGCTTTGCTAACTTGGGCACCCTAATAAAGATTTTATGAATGAATGCTTAATAAATCATTTGCTAACGCTTAAAAGATCAACTACAACCAATAAACAACAATGTTTTAAGGTTGCCAGGTTGTGAAAAATCCCTTTTGCTGATGTCTATGAGGAAGTTCATGAGGAAGACTCTCCACTGGACCGCTCAGCGTCTTTTGGAAAAGAGCTTTGTTAACTTTTACAACTGCAGACTGAACAGTAATTGTAAAATCCCTTTATTACTGACTTATTCATATTAGCTGCAGATTCATTTTTTAACTTTTTCTCTCGGCCTGTTAAGCTTTGATAATGACTTTATTCACACGTGTATCCTCAGAATTGGTGGCTTATTATAAAGAAAATAAAGAAAAAGAGAGATATGTGAGAAAATTGTTGATTGTCGCTAAATGAAACAATTGTTATAAAACTGATCCTCCCGGGAAGAGTTTGGCTTGATATTGTTTAGGAAATGTATTAAATAGAACAAGTGACCTATCTTTAATGAGTTCATTTTTGACAAAAATTGGTGAAAGTGGATGATTTACATGAAATGAGAGGCGGAACAGTTAACTTATCTAAATCCACACAGAATGAACATATAGTAGATATTTAAAGACCCTATGATAACTTTAATGCTACATTGTTTGCCAATGTGTAGATGTTAAGATAGCTAAAGAGACAAAGCAAATGTCATGCAGGTCATTTTTCACAACCTGGCAACCCAAATTGTATTACTGACAACTTAACAAACCATTATAATAAAGAGTGCCTTATCAGTGGGACTTACTATGTTTTCCATACTGGTTTAATTTTTCTTTTCTTCTTAAGTTCATTTTAGTTTCCTGGGATTATTTCTTTCTTGACACAAGGGCAGGGAGGGAGGACAGCTTAAAGTAATTTACACAAACCTTTATGACCTTTTCAAAAAATATTTAAAACAGTAAGGAGTAGAATGTTTTCAACACCCAGTTTCCCTCCAACATTATAACATTGGTGTAAATAAACACTGCAGTAGAAAGATTTTATCAGAAGGTGGGTAAAAGGGACATTTCTGTCTGTCTGACTGTCTGTCTGTCTGTCTGTCTGTCTGTCTGTCTGTGTATCCATCCACTCATCGACAAACAGTCTAAAGATAACAGGCTAAAGTCAACAGCAGTACTATCGACTGTGGAAGCAGGAAACTCTCTCATCCTTCAGTCACCCCCCTCCCTCTACAAACACACACACACACATACACACACACTCACACACACATGGTGGTTCGCAGTAGACAGGAGATGAGAGGAGAATAGCAGGATGGATAAGTAGGGGAGGACAGGAATACAGGATGTGAGTCAGGAATGGAGAGAAAGATCTCCATGGAAAAAATACAATGGAAGAGTGGAAGACACTGAAGAATAACGATGACATAACAGAAGTGAGAGGAAGTCAGAGACAATAACGGTGAAGGAACGGCAGGAAATATCGCCTTTGTCCTGACAGTCATGGAGATTTACGTTTTTTTGAGGATTCCAGCTCCTCTGAAGATAAAAGTCCCACTTATTTTCTAACAATTGATGCTTCTATCGAACTTTATCTGGTGATTCCTGATAATAGAGGGGTTGCACTTTGGAAGGAAGGTAGAGAAATGTGGAATACAGTCATTTCCACAACAAAGAGGGAGGTGAGAACATGACTGAGGTGGAGAGAAAGGGATAAAAAAGAAAAGAACAGACATAGAAAAGGTGAATGAGATAAAAGTCTGACCTCTCCAGACGACTTGGGTCACAGGACAGGGGGTGTGTTCCTGGCTTGCTATTGGTCAGCGCCTCCCAGATGGTCACCTAGAAAACAAAGAGGAGGCCATACGGGAAGTCAGAGAGTGCGCGCAGGAAGTGGGTAGACAGAAAACATCACAGATAAACAGATGGGGGTGCATGTAAAACAACAGCATCCTCTCTACAGGCTTTTCTCCCTGTTAATGTATGCTAAAGTACCTCTCACAGCACAGCACAGAGACAGCCAGCTGGATTGATTATGAATTATCAACTGACTGAACGCAAACTAGATTGATCCCGGCCCTGCTTCTTTACTACACATAAGCAATATTAATACTGATACTGCTATTAATATGGATAAACTCGTGTTAAAAATAAAGGTCCACATTTATACAGCACCTTTAAACACTGACTCATTTGGGGTTGGTGCTTTTGGCTTTGAACAAATTGGACATGCTACTAGTAATCAATTTCAACAGACTAGAATACGGTTTTAGATTTTTATTTTCTACCCTAGGCTGGATAACCAATTGGCCGAGTAATTTGATTAACTTCATAATTATTTAGTAATATGCACTAATAAAGCTAAATTAACAACTGAAATAGTAAGGGTCCTAAGCTGCCTTCTGCACTTTATACTCAATCTTGAGGACCTCTCTTATAATCTGGTTTTAATATAATATTTTAGTTAATATTATGCTTACCCGGTGCAAATTCCGAAATACTTTCCAAAGTAATCACAAACTCACTGACATAAAGCAAACCCGGGGCAGGTTAGTATTCCAGTGTAGAAATATTGCTTGGTTTCAGGGCACAATGGGTTGAGGGAATGTGTATGTGGGGGGCTCAAGTGAGGCCCACAGCTTTGGCCCTGTTCATACCTTCTATCAAGTCCTTTTTCCATTTCTGTACACTATGAAAATCAAGTAAGAAGACTTAAAAATGTTGTTGAGATAGGCCACAAGACAGTGAGTATTTATGAATCTTATATTACAATTATATCTATTGTGATAATATATGATGTTCAAGTGATGGCAGCAACTCTGACATCCAAGACATGAGAGTCAAAACTACTTCAATGCAAGAAATGAACAAAATGTTGAATGAATAAACTTTCATGACACTGCAGGTTAGGTTTCACATTGTAGTAAAATGAAAGGAAACTGTGAATGAATTGTGGGAAATTACAACCGGACGGTGTGTTTCAGAAGATGACGGGCTGTAGCGTAAGCCTGATTTCTACAGTAGTTAATGCTGTAAAACATGCAGTGTCAGCACTGTAGTCCTTTAACACCTGTCCTGCTTCAGAATTAGAGCTGTAATGAAAAGTGTCACCACCTTTTCATCGCTGTTTAAAGCAGCGGTACAACAGCTCAAGACAGCAGGCTGCTGAGGATGATCGTACAAAGTACTGCACAAATCCTCAGCCGCAACCTTGCCTGGTCTTCTCTACCTCCTCCTCCTGCATCCAAGCTAAGAAAACTCTGAGGATGTTCTCTGACCTTTCTCAACAAGCCTATTTATATTTCTCTCTCTGTACCTCTGGAACAAGGCCAAGGACTATCAGGACCTGGATCTCAGGGATTTCAAAACAGTACCTATCCTGAGGTAGTGTTGAATGTAATGGGTCTGGGTTCCACACATCACAGGCAATTTATTCTACTTATTGATTTTACTTCATTATTGACTGTTTTTATTTTGAAACTGGTCGCTGTTTTCTTGCTTCAGTGTGTCTATTTGTCTTGGTCTTGCTTGACTTATTGGTGAATTTACTGCTGTAATTTGTACTGGGTGTTTTATAGGGGGAATATGATGCACCTGGGTTTATAAAGCAACATGGCTCTGAGAATCTTGAAAACTTAATGGAAAACCTTTTGCAATCTGTGCTCATTAGGTGCTTTACAAGGAGACTCAAGGTGAGATAATTGACCATTAGTTAAGCCCCTCCCCTGAGCAGTGATTTTCCAATTATTGCTGAGCATCTGAAATTAGGCACGGTAGGTCTCTGCAAGCTTTGGACTTCTCAGTGTCTCATGCTAAAGTGGTGTGCACGTGGCCACAGTAGGAGAGATCCTCAGCATTTAAAGGACCAGTGTGTAGGATTTAGTGGCATCTTTCAGTGTAGTTGCAGATTACATTGCCCTCGTTCCTAGTGTGTAGGAGAAACTATGATGGCTGTGAAACTGACTAAAAACAAGAAAGGCCCTGTCCAGAGCCAGAATCTGGTTTGTCCGTTCTAGGCTACTGTGGAAACATGGTGGTTCAACGTGGCGGCCTCCGTAGAAGATGACCTGCTCCCTCGGTAGATAAAAGCGCCTCATTCTAAGGCAACAAAAACATGATTCTTATTGTCAGGGGAATAATACACTAATTAAAAAAAGATACCCATGGATATTTTATTCCAGTTCCGCCGATAGATCGTCCTAAACGTTGCACACACAACTGCACATGTTAGCTTACATTCGCAATTAACTAGCTCACAACATACAGTTGTAACAGAGCATCATCCAAAGCCAATGAGCATTTCAGTAGCTATCTGCATTACTATCTGGGATTACAAGTTAATTGTAAATAATAATAATGAAGAGGCATGTAAACTCAACAGACAAACTGGGTTATTTTTGCGTAACATTCTGATCTTACATTTTCTCTTATAATGCTTATAGTACTAGAGGCTAACTCGTTAGTAACTGCAAGACAAGAACAATGCAAATTTTTATTTACATGCCTTCTACTGGTATTTAAGATGCCTTTTACAGAGTTCTTATTTTAAAATGAGTCAGCTAGAAACATTATAAAATCAGCTGGTGGCAGGGAGCTATAGCTGTTAAGCTTCTAGTTGTCATTTCAGCCGATAAAATGAATGGTCAGCGGCTAGAAATGAAAAGCCTACTTTTATCTTCTTCTGTCTGAATGTCACTGTTGCGACAATTAAGATTTTTGAATGGTAAATTTGTCCCAAATTATCACTGTAAACTCCATTATGAGCCAAGTGAGAATGGAAAGATTGACAGGAATAGCAGCTGTAACCATGGAGGGGGCGGGGCTAAATTAACATTCAGTTAAATAAGATCTTGTTTTAAGATGTCTGACTATTGTTTCTTTCATATCAGAACAGAAGATGATCTCTCAGGAGCGTCACAGTCAGCCCACCTGATCATATTCAGAGCCGGCCTCCAGCAGACTCTGCTGTATGGCGAACTGCAGCAGATCCTCCTCCTCCTCCCTCATGCTGTCTCTCTGTTTGCCTCCTAGCATGGTGTATCCAGGTGGGGCCTCAAACACGCATGGGGGAATCTCTCCGCCTCGACATGACACTGCAGCACACAGGGAAAAGTTAAAGGGCAAGAGACGGGAAGGAGTGTTAGCTAACAGTGTAGGAGATTATACTAGACTAAAGGAGAACAGGAAAGGAAAAACAGGACAGATTTCAAATTTATTAGGTAATATTCCCACCATATTATTGTTGCCAAAATCTTTCCATTACTCAACTGTGTGTATTTCCATAGGACTATAACTCAGTGTAAAGCATTTCTCTAAGATAGCATCAAGGATTTCCAGAGAGGTTCCTTCTGAGCGGTCACACAATAAATTCTATCTCCCCTCCACATGGCTGCAGATTTAAACCTGCCCGTTGGGATCCTGATCAAGTGATAGGATGATTAAAGTAAGCCATAATCTCACACGCAACACAAAGAACACAACCTTGCATCAGTGATAAATACCACTCATAACTCAATCAGGCAGCAGTAAACTCCGTTTGTGAAGTGAAGTACGGCCCAGGCTCTGCAGTAAATGTTAGTGGAGTCATTTTATCAGCTGAGGACACTGTAGAGTGTATGGGAGTGTGCTCTCACTGGTGGAGCTGGAGCTGGAGACGCTGGAGGAGTCACTGCCCGGAGATGGGGTGTCTGTCCTCGGGGCGTCCCTCTGTCCGTCCCCCTCCACCCCGACTTCGTTGTCGGCACGGACGCCCGTCCCCTCCTCACAGCCGTTAAGGTTGCTGAAGGTGATCCTGGCGTTCAGGATGTGGTAGAGAGGGATCTCTGCAGGGAGTGGAGAGAAATGGAGCAGAAGATGACATTCGTATTGCTATCATTAAGTTATGTGTTAACTTCTTGTGTCTTTGCATCAGTCTCATCATCCAGTTAACCATGCGTGTCCTTGTATCAGTCCTGTTATTTTTAGTGATCAAATTTGCAATCTTTTCTGTCCTTTTTACTCACTCTCTCCCTCTGTCTTCATTCCTTTCCATCCATCTGTATCTGTTTATTCACTTTTCATTCTCCCATCATCCCCTTTATTTAACCAGCCATCATTTTAACCTCCCACCCTCCCTCCTTCCATCCATCTCACTCTCCCAGCTCTCACCGATCTTGACAGGGAAGCCAGGCGGCAAGCGCAGAGTGATGAAGTCACGCAGCTTAGCGAACAGGGCATTCGAGATCGCCATGAGATCGATGATAGGCACAACTTGTTCCGCCAGGGACAGGGGATGGGACTCACACAACCACAACTTGGCTTTAAACCTGGAAACAAAAACACACACACAGACACACACAGGGAAAGAGTTTGTTAATGAATATTACTAAATACAAGCTGACTTAAGTATAATTGAGGCAATTTATGTCGTTGTTCAAGCCATTAGTTCTTTGGCCGGAGGTAAACAAAGCCATTGATTGCATCAGCTAACAGTGACTGTCCACAAGCAGCTGAGTCGTGTTTAAATTAAAGCCAATCAATGCTTATTATTTCTCTGAAACCTCAAACACTTCTTCCTCATAATGGCATGTCACTTTTATTTCATTCTTTGGGCTTTTATTGCCTTTAATTGATAGTAACAAGAAAAGGGGAGAGAGAGGGGATGACACGCAGCAAAGGGCCACAGGTCAGATTCGAACCCTGGGCCGCGGCAGAAACCTTGGTAAATGGGGTGCCAGCTCTACAGGTGAGCAATTCAGGCGTCCCCTTAACACTTTTTATTAAGTGCCACAGAACAATGGAACTGATGGCAGTAAATGACAGATAGACAGCCAGAGGAACAGAAGACAGATGACTGAACGGCAAGTCGGCAGGTGGATGACAGAAGTAGGATATTGAAAACCAGTTTCATTTGCTACATTACAAAACAATTACATAAAAGGCTAACTGAGAGACACTGCAGGGCTCCTTCATTTCATTTTCTGTTTTGCTTCCTTTGGTTCAAGAGTCAAGTAAAAATGATGTGTCATTATGAGATTGTCATAGAGAAATTGTTTGACTCTCCACCAGCCTTGCAGAAATCTACTCATCAAGTGTGTGAATATGTGTGTGTGTGTTTATTTTACTCTTATTATTTCGCTGTGCATCTGCCACGGATAGCTGATTTTACTTTGCCTGTATGTGTGTGTGAGTCTGTCTATTCTCTCCCACTCAGTTTGTCAGCTTGGTAGTGAGTTTGGAGGGCGACTGCATTGTATGCATGGCCGCCTGTCTGTTTTCCTGTCTGTCCGTGTCACCTCTGGGTCTTGGTGGTGAGCTGGCATGGGTGGCCGATGTCCCTCTGAGTCGGTGACGAGCCGGGGTTGAAGTATTCCTCGGCAGTCAGCGCAGCGGGGTTTGTCACCGCAGGACACGACATCTGGGTCACCAGGGCCTGCAAAAATAGAATAATGAATTTAAAATAGTCCTGATGTAACCGCATGTTGCCATTTTAAAGCTTTTTACTGATCCCCAATCAGATTGACCATGTCTGCAGGGGTCAAAAGGATTGTTAATCAATCCCAGTAAGTCGAAGAGAACTTTACAAGGTGCAAAGATTTCTGGCCTTTAAAACTCACTTTCTTTGCTATTGTCTGTTGTGGAACAAAAAACTAACCACCTACTGGGATTTCAAGGCTTTCCTCTTACCTACTGACATTTCCAACAGCTCAAGGTAAGAAAAACTTGAGAAAAAATGACAAAGCAGTTTTCTTTCTAGCAGTTTACATCATTACAGCATCCGTTGGTTCACTGCTCTAATTAGTAGCTCACTGTCAACTGTTAAGTATGACTTTAGTAAACCTGTCAAAGGTAAGCCACCATTACTGGAGGAGAGTAGAGGCTGACAAATACTTGTGGATCTTGTTGCGTTCCACTCCAGATGCAGCCAATTTATCACAATCACTTTGTGAGACAACATCACAGCTTTACAGTTGCACAAAGTATCTGCAGAACGCACGTCAAACCAGAAGAAAAAAAGGGCGGGCCGCGTGTCTCAGTGCTGTGTATAGACGGTACAGAGGCATGACGTTGAAAAGAGCAGAGGCGACAGTGAGGGGGAATAAAACAGAATACAGAAAGAGGAGAAGGAGGGAAGTATGAGTCATAGATGCTCTCTAGCAGAAACAAATTAAAAAACATAATCAATATTTGAGAGCAGGTTGGAGCCTCTGAGTTACTGTTTTACTCTGCAGGCATCTCCTGTTGACACAGTGGACTTAGCAGCCGGGATTCATACACTCAGTGTCCATCTAAAGAGGGGAGCTGATGGTGATGATGCTAATATTGAAGATGATAATTCACTCACGAGGGCAGTGATTATCACAATACCGATTATTATCACTATTGTCCCTACAATGAGTCCAATCAGAACACCAGAACCAATGAATCACAGCTGTTCCCAGTTCAACCACAATGTATATTAATTTATTAGTTTGAGTTTTAAAAGATTTTTTCTCAACCCTTATCCTTCATTTAAAGATAAAACTGGAAAATCCCCTTCATGTGTTAAAATCTAAATAAACTGTCTACTTACCCCGTTGTTAGGCCCCATGTGCTGCTCGGCAATCCCAAGGAAATTCTGCAGTGGAGTCTTCCCACCTGCTCAGAGACACACGGCAGTGATAAGTTACGCTGAGACAATAGTCACAGTGAGCATAGGCTCATTCATCTCCACTGCAATTGTCTGCGGTGTCATTTTGCTCTACAGTGTTTTGCTCCAGATAACTTATTGGATTACATCGAGCTTTTGTGTTGTGGTCTTATCATCTACTAAGAGCTGGCAGGAAATGGACAGAATACTGTACTGGATTGAACTGAAGTAAATTATGCTTTCAAGCAGCAAAATCAGAGTAGAGTTACACCTAAATATGTTCTAAATATCTATATATAGAATTTATTGATAAAACACCTGAAAATATCTATTAAAAGAAATGCATATTGTGCAGTCAGTATAACTGTCTTCAGTGTATCTCTGGAACCTGAACATCATTTTTCTACTGCTACAGCTACAGCTACCTGAGTTTACACATTGTTATTATATAGTATGTACTTTATGCACAGCAACGTGTACATTATGGTCACCATTAGACTGTAAATGCATCAAAAATATGAATGTGATGAAAACCACACTCTGAAAATGCCTTTAGGATCTTCCGACTGCAGCAGTAAGAAACCGCAATAGGGTCATGGAAGAAAAATACCTTTTTTTGAGAGTGTCAAGCTGTCTTCTTTTGATCTTAAAGATCCCCTCCAAACATGTATTAAGACATATAAAAATGTTCTTCTTGGAATAATAATTTGAGTCTGATATGGTTTTCAAGTTTCCAAAGCTACCTTTTTTATAATTCTTACAATTACATCTATTCCCTCTCCTTTTAAACATCCAGGATCTATGAATATGCAAATATACAACTTAACTGGATACAATATGTCTCCTACTTCACTGAAAAGTCTAATCTCAGTGTATGTGCACTGAAGATCTCAACACACTTGTGTAAATTAGGTAAATTAGTAAACTAGTTGTGATGTCACAAAATCCTCCTGGTACGTACACACATCAAACTGACATTTAAGGTGAGCACAGATAGACTTCCCCCCTTCAGCATATGAATCTGAAAACAGCCTTCTAGTGTCAAATTCTGCACATGCATCATCCTGCACAGTGAAGGTCAAACATCCAGGTAAAGTGACAGTAAGCAAAACACATTTGTGAGTGGAGGGGGAGTTTAAAGTGTCTGAGAAACTGGCTCAAATCTAAAGTATTTCTCTACAACATTAATAATCCATAACTAAATAAGAAACAATCATGGTAAAAAACATCTTAAGGTAATGTTTATTGAGAATATAACTCTCAGATAATACTGTGTGGGTGTGATGAGACAGGTTAACCAAACAACCCACCAACTGTCGTCACATTTAGATTCATATGTTGCTAAATCCTGATTGGTGCATTGTACATTCACGTCACCTTTTTTCAACCAAGCCCTGCTCACTCCAAACCAGTGAGAACAGAACTGAGGAAAACACAATCAGCCACCCCTCATGTAAAATAACCAAAATTGTTTATTAAAATTGTTCTAACTTTAGCAGAAAATAATGCGTTCATGTAGGATCCCATCACTCACAGCAAAACGATTATTTAGAAAATAAGATTTCCAGGAACCCACCATGAAGGAACGCTCTGTTTTTTAGAGTGTATGGGGACACAAACAGCTGCTGCTCATTTAGATAAGACAGAGATATGAGCAGCAAAGAAAACATGATCAGCTTCTTAAAGTGTGGCTTGCATTCAGACAGGACTGGTGCTGCAGTTTTCCTCACTAACCAGAAACTGAATGCTAAATGCAATGCAAAGGTCCATCTGTTAGAGTTAATGACAGTGGTGTCATGGTGTGGTTGATAAGACAAGTGTCCACATTTCGACCTTCAGCCAGCTGATCCGTCTACAGCTGCTGCTTGACTCGTGATCCAGCGTGTATGTGACTCTCTTAGAATAGCTTTTTCTTTTTTTTTTATAGTGTTTACAAAATGATGAAACGCAGCACAAGGGAAGGGCAAATGCAGTGAGTCACTCATTCAGGAGTCATTGTAGCGCTTCCAAGAACACTTCCCTCCTGCATATTAGCAGAGTGCAGATGGGGATTGTGACCTGGGAGAGAGCGAAGCCCCTCGGAGGAGTGTGTGATGGTTGATCCTGGCTGACAGCGACAGTCCAGGGAGGGAAACCTGCTAATCCTGTTTGATTTATGATCTGAACCAGAAAACAAGACAGAGCCGCCGAGTGAACGTTACGGACTGTAAGCCAGAGCCTCAGGGTGATCTCACCGAGCTCAGGTGAGGGGGATTACTCATCAGCGACTGTTTTTTTTATTAGACATGTCTATCACTTAGGCCGGGGTTTACAGCGGCACAGAGGAGATAATGGAGAAGTTGAGCTGCTGCAACTGTGATGCACCTGCACATAATGAACCCCTTGACGATGTCTAAGAGGTGACACTGTCTAATGCTCATTTGGCACTGAGGTTCGGTTGACAAATTAAAGTGACTTACCTTTTGTCTTGTTCTTGTTCTGGTCTGACAGATGGTCAGTTCTGGTCCTGGTGATCAGCTCCACATTGGACGCTGCGTATACCTGAAAGAGGAGGAGACAATTAGCTTTTGTGTTCTGCCAACATTGGCTTTACACTCTCATTGTTTGGGACCCCACTGCTGTATGTGTAACGATAATTACAAAACCAACCATTTATTTTCATTTAAATATTTTTTCTTTTCTTCCGACCTAATTAAAACCCAATATGTAGAAAAGTATTGAAAGGGTAACCATTCCCACTGTCACGAACTGTGCTTGCAGATTCGCCAAATGTGAAAAAATGAGCATACAGCATTGTTGTTATACCAAATCAAGGAAATATTTCATGTTTTCTATGTTATATGGACTGTGCATTAACAAATATATGGTCCTTGTTTGCCAAAAGACCTCTTATCAACCAACTCCAATAACAGAAATTTGGGATTTGGGAGGGGTAGTATAACAAGTCACACCAATCACATATTGAAAATCGATTGTATTGAACCGTGTTTCACAACCCGCGTCTCTGAGAATTCAGTTAGAAGTAAAACATAATTTTCAGTTCAAAATCATGTTTATAAATAATTCTCATAAAATTAGGAAAAGTCATGTGGTGAACCTGTGATGTGTAACGTTACACCCCTGGGTCCTAGCCTGCAACACACAGTCCACAGCAGAATGCTGGAATTCCTCACTAGTGACCACAAAAAGAAAATACTGATTAAAAATTGAGCAGACTGCTGATTCTGTGTTTACACTGGATGGCGGACAAGCGAAAGGAAGAGCTAAAAAGCTTCCAGGAGGAGAGCAGCTCAACGGGAGTTGTCTGTTTATGTTTGTGACTCTAAATCAATGATGCAGAAAATAGATGCTTTTCAGGCAGCCGTATTTTACTGTAGAAAGTGTCTGAAGTGTTTTTATAAACCACTAGTGACAGATGGTCCTTCGTGTCTGACACTTGTCTCCAATCGATCCCTCCAGGGGGTCAAGAAAACAAATGGGGTCAAGGTAATGCATGTGTCTGAGCAACACGCACTTCTTTTTTTAACCTTAATTTGATGGGCCATCTGGTTGTTTCTGTGTTGACGAATTTTCCACATTTGGGGCAAAGAATTCATGCTTTAATTGTTGTGCTTAAATTCATACTCTTTAATCTTAAAAGGGCAGGTTTCAGTAATTGATTCATTCATTATTTAAAAATCTAGAGGGTTATGTCCTCAAAGGTCCAAGGAAAAAGGTTTTAAAATAACTTTGGGAGTGATTCATTCTGGAAATTAAGCTCTTCAAGTAAAGTGGATTTTCAGGAAATATCAAATTGAGCTCTGACAGCAGTGGTTTCTCTGGACAGTGTGAGAGATTAGCGGTCTGTCTGAAAAGCCTGTGCTCTACCTTGGCTTCATATCCATTCACTGTCTCAGTCTTCTCGCTCCTCCAGCCCAGTATGCCCGTCTTATTCCTGCAACAGAGATTCAACACATGCCCCATCAGTTCCCTGTGGTCTTGACTTCCAATCAACGTATACAGCTGCATCACTGTTGTTGGTGTAGATTATTTGCCCGTCCCAAGCAATCTGCAGATATGTACCTGAGAGAAAATCATAAATATAGTTCATAGGAGAGTCAAATCAACCATCTCCCCTTAGATTGCAAGTCACAGATTGTTTCTCTACAATATGCAGCCTGAAAAGATTGCAGCCATTGTCAGTGAAGATCAGCAGTTCAGTGTGCAATTAGGAAGTCTGCCTAGAAGTTAGTGAGGCATATCCCATCTTCATGATCTATTCCAATCATTGTACAACTCCTTTTGAAAAACAAAGCACAGAAAGCGGATTTCAAGGAGGCTCTTTCTATATTAGACCATATATTTATGAAGTGATAGTATTTATAAATAATATAAATGATATCAGGTATTTTTTAACATATGTCAAATGTGTAATTTAGAATAAAGGTTTTGGGGAATTTTTAGCCATGCTAGTGTTGTGGCTCTCTGTTGGTTAAGTCAGCCTGTTTGGTCCACACTTCAGAATTATCTTAGCAACGTTTGGATGGATTGACATGAAATTTTGTACTGGCATTCATGATCCCCTCAGTGTTAATTGTAATAACCCTGGTAATCCTCTGACTTTTCATATAGCCCATAATCAAGTCAAATTTGTTTAAGGTTTAAGACTAAAAGACCATCCCATAGCGAGAGGAAACACACGATGCCCTTGCAACATTGTATATCACATCTTGACAGCACTATATGATCTTATGTCTCTGTGGCACCCCAAAGCCCTGCCTTAGCAATGGCCTGACCACATAATTGCAAAAATAACTGAATTCCCATCAGCCTCAGCTGTAGCCGTGTTTTGTGCTAATTAGCAAATGTTAGTATACTATCACGCAAAATTAAAATAGTTATCATGGTAAAAATAACCGGCAAAACATCAGAATGCATAATGACGTTACAGCATGTAGCTAAAAAGTTGTGCTATGCCTAAGTACTGCTGCACAGAGCCACTACCACAGACAGTAGACTGTCCTGTCTGAATCAATGTCAGACAAAGTTATGTCTGAATCTTGAAGTTATATCATAGCTCAATTACAGCGGGTTCAGTAAAACCAGCAAAACTGCAGTGCTGTAGTTTTTGTGCATGGCTGCGTAAAGACTTATTAACTCCAGAGGTAGATGTCCTGTCTGTGGTGTTTGACAAAGTGGTTTGCTCTAAAGCATCATAAATAGATTATTGGCATGTAGACAGGAGTGCTGACCAAGGGAAATGAACAGAGGTGACACTGAGGTACAAGTCTGACAGGGAGATGATTACCCCCCCCCCCCCAAAAAAAAAAAACACCACCTCTCCCTGCTCACTCACGTTTTCCTCTCTGTCTTCTTGCTTTTTATCCGTTAACATTTATTTCCTGTCTCTGGGTCCCTGTCCAAAAGTCACCTATCTATCACTGTGTCTCTCTGCAGTCTATTTTTCTCCCCTTTCTCCCCCTTCCTACAAAATCATCGACTCCCCCCTTTTGGCTTACGTATTGTGCTTTTTTCCCCAAATAGTCTTGTCTCATTCATCTTTATCTCCCTGTTTCTCTCCGCATGTCTTCTATTCCCCCTCATCTCTCTCTGTCTCTCTGTCCCATCCCTGTCCCTCTAAATCTCTCCCTTTGTTCTCTTTCGTTTCATTTTCTCCCCTCTATCCCTCTCTGTCCAAAACTTTCCTTGTTCTGTCATCCTTCTCTCTTTCTCTCTGTCACATCAGTCTTATCTCACCTCCTGAGTAGAATAAGATGAGTTTTGTCCTTTATGCCCCCTTCTCCCTCCCTTCTCTCCTCCTTACCGTTGCTTTTCATCTCTGTGTCTATGTCACTTTATGTGAAACTGAGCTGTAAAACTGTACCATACTGCATAATAAAAAGCTCCTAAATTGACTGCTCACAAGCCATCTTTTTCTCCCTCCTCCTCTAGTCTGCCTATGTCTTGTCTGCCTTTTCCATGTCTTTTTCGTTCTGCTATCTGCCTCTCCATCTCCATGTTCACTGGAGTGTTGAGCTTTTTTGAAGTGGCCTGATCCTGAAGCCTGTGGGAAGCTGTATCACACTTACTCCTGACACATTTTTGTGGCAATTCAGCCATTTGAGTTCACAGGAGACACAAAAGATCAAGAACAGAGTATTTTTGGTTATATAAAAATGCAATGACTTAAAGCGAGCCTTTTTAACAGTATGTGGCCACAATAGTCAGAAGGGGTTTATTTGTCAGGGACAATATACTAGCACACAACACAAAAAATTTAAATGTAAAGTGTTGATTTTCATCATCCCTGGCCATATATGAAAGATGCCCCCAAAATAGAATAAAAAATAGTAAATACTAAACCAATGCTAACAGTGTCACAGTGCTAAGTAGCAAACTGACTCAGTAAAGTCAATTACAAAGAACTATCTAGCTGCTAACTTTGCTAACTTTAGGGAAATAAGCCACCATAAGCTGAGTATCCCTGTAGCAGCAAAGCCTTTGAGAGTATTGAAATGAGCAGGGGTGTATAATATTACTTTCCATCTTTTCTTCTGTAACAGGAAAATTCTGTTATTCTGTTCTTTCAAGCACTACATAATCTCACTTTATATACTATAACATGATTAGTTTAATACACTTTCATTACAGGAACATTCCCTCTTGGCTCTATTGCAGGTCTATCAGTAATACGTATGTGGTGTTCAATGAACTCTAGCAATTAGTTGTACACGTGTTTTGTTGTCTCCAGTTGCCCCACTACTGCTGCTTCTGTTAGTGTTTTCCTACACTGTGTGAAATGCATTTTGACAGCCACCAGAGAATGTGCCTGAACTTGTTCCACTCAGCTGTGGGTTGTAGTGTAGGAGACAGCAACAGTGAAAGAGTGACAGAAATTCACCAGCAACCACAAAGGAGTGATTTTCTCCACTAAGCAGAAAAAAAAGCCAGCACTCAGAGCAGAACATGTCCTGTGGCTGAATTGCATCGTGTTGTACTGAGGCTACTGTAAATTATTATTTTGCTTGTTCTGTGGAAGATTTCTTCCTGTATGATTGCTGAACATGGAAAATGGCGGGACTAGAAAGAAGCCCTTGCTATTTAATTCTGGAAGGTGTTATAAAAAAATGATTGATGTTTCAGATGTTCTGTTGGGTTGAGTTTGCTTAGTTATTTCGATTTTTCCTTTAATTTAAAGTGTATTTGAGTTCAGTCATTCAGGTTCCTTCATTCACACCCAACTCAGGGTATATCTCATATCCTATAGACTAGTGTGTACCTTAACTTCACATCCTGTTACTAATATTCTGTGTATATCAGTATTACATCTGACCTCTCGAAGGCGATGTTGCGGGTGTCCAGCTGAGTGGTCACCACAGCGGCCGACAGCCTGGCCGCTACCTGCTCGTCGCTGGGCTGCACCGCACCCAGAAGGCCCAGACCCGCAGCTGTGCTGCTGCAGGCGCCACCATTCACCCGGCCAGGTGAGAGTGCTGTGAGGGATGAGACGCACATGGTCTCGCGGAACACCAGCTGCCTGTCGTGGTCAACCTCCATCACCTCCGCGCTGGAGTCTGAGAGGAAAGAGGGTGACAGACAGGAAGAGAAAAATTAGGGCAACCTTAGTGAGGATGAGAGAGGCAGATAGGAAATAGAGAGTGGGCAATGATTATAATACAAACATGCCAATGAGGTTGCAAGACACAAACATGCATGTACATGTAAAGAAAAGTTAAGAGGGATGATGACTGATGTCAAGATGCTGCAGATTGACAAAGGTAAGAGTAAATTAAATATCCTGGCAGGCAGGTCCAGAAGAAAGTAACACAAAGAGGGAGAACATTGTGCAGACTCAAAAAAGTCCAGGAAAGAAGGCCAGAAGAAGAGGAATAATTAAAAGTGGTGAGAGGAAGAAAGATAAAAATAAAAGAAGAACTGGGTGAAATAATGCAAAGAGGAGCCAGTGGAGAATTGACTGAGTAGAAACAGCTGTGCAAAGAGGCAGGGGAGAAGAGGCCCGGTCACACCTGCACCAGCCTCTGTGAATATTTGCTTCATCTCACATTCACTTCAAATGAAGCCTGTGTGACTACAAGAATGTGTTTCTTAAAAAAAAAAACCCACAACCACAATCACATAAGTCATTTTATGGTGCTGAAAGTGAGGCTGTTTCATGGGACTGAATGCAAATGTGGATGGAAACCCAGAAGACACCGGGGAAGAGGAAGGAAGAAAAGGAGGTAAAGAGACAGAGTGACAAACTCTTACTATGAATTTACAAGCCAATGCATAATTTGGTATCATATCTTAAATGATTTTTTTAAAAAGATGCATATTCTCTTTCTTGCTGAGAGTTAGATGAGAGGATTGATACCATCCTCTGTTTGGTATACTACTGCAAGCAGCTTAGCACAAAGTCTGGAAACGGGGTGAAACAACAAGCCTGGCTCAGACAATCAAATCCACCTACCAGCACTTCTAAAGCTCACTCATGCAAGTCTTTCTCTTGGCAAGAAAATGAATAAATGGTAAATGGACTGTACTTATGTAGTGTCTTTCTAGTCTTTTCACCGCTCAAAGCGTTTTACACTACATGTGACATTCACCCATTCACACACTGATGGCAAAGGCTGCTATGCAAGTCAACTGCAGTATCAGTAACTAACTAACCCATTCACACACACTCACACACCAATGGCACAGCATCAGGAGCAGCTTGGGGTTTAGTATCTCGCTCATGGACGCTTTGACATGCACAAGGGGAAGCCAAGAAATGAACCAACCTTCTGATTAGTGGACGACCCGTTCTACCTCCTGAGCCACAGCCGGCCCAATAATGGAATAAGTGTATTTCCCCAAAATAATTTCTTTTCTTTCACAGTTCAGTCAATATTATTTTTTGTTGTTGTTGTATTGTATGAAATACACTAGTTACACAGGACACTCTCAAAGTCTCAAGTCTAGAGTTTGACTTCTGACCTTGTCCCTTGAAAATGAAGCTCCGGTTTCCTCTCTGCCAGGTCATCTGTTCAAAGCCCATCAGGGTGGTGTCAACGCGGAGACACTGGCCACTCTTCCACACTCTGTAGGTGTCACTGGGGCAGATACGAGACACCAGGGGCACTGAGGACAAACACAGACAACATTTTAAACAAACCTTGCCATTTTTGGATGAATATGTAAAGAATTTAATGCAGCAGTTTTCTCTGATGTTTTCATTTGATCTTGGGCTCAGTTCTCTGATGAATCCATTATAAGAGACACATTTATGTGGTTGTATGTAACAACAAAAATATACGCACAAAAACAATTAGTCACATGCCTAGAGTAGGAGGAAAATACATCCACTTATATAGTCTTGTAAAGCAAGATCTTAAGACAAATAATTATATAAATAAATAAAGCACAAGCTGTTTAACTCTGAAACCAAAGCCAGACATAAATTCTGCCAGGCGGGAAGTGTGTGAGCATCAGTGTCCAGTACAACAGGAAGAAACAGGCCTCCCCAGAGGGAGATGATGATAACATGATTAGTTCTGACTGGTCGGTACTGGACTGCTTTACTGACTGGAATGACTCAAAGACTGGACTCACCCCAGCTGGTAAACTCCCATTTCATCTCCACATAGAAGTCCTGGGCCTGGAGAGAAAGAGGCAGAGAGAGGAGGAAAAGATGGGGGGGCAGGGGGGAAGCAGCAGGCATTGATAAAGAGGATGATAGAGGGAGAGAGAAAGAGAGAAAGAGTCATGTAGATGGAGAGTGATGAATTTAAGGATGGATAGATGGAGAGAGAGGAGAAAAGCAAAGTGGGGGGAAATAAAAAGAGAGAGAGTGAACAAACACAGTGGTACTGCTTTATTGTCTCTTCCAAAGATGGGGGGGATTGGCACGGAGAAGTGGTTGTGTATATGTGTGTGTGTGTGGGTTAATAATAGAACTGATAGATTGATGGGTGTAGAGGAGGATGATGTGGATGAGAGCAGCAGCAGACGAAGAACGGCAATGTGGGCTTGAGTGCGAGTACTCATTGTCGTTTTCAAAGTGTGAGGGTGTTGTGTCTACCGTGTGGGTATGCTAGAGTGTATGTGTGTGTATCGGGGGGGAGCCAGGTGAAGCAGATACACAGGAAGACAGAGTGTGTGAAGGCAGTTCCCTGCATCTCTGCCACTGTTCTCTGCAGCTCTACTGCTGCAGCAGCTTCAACACGATCTGCTGCACCTCAACATTTTCCTGTCAGGATTATAACCATTAACCTTCAGGCTCTCCGGCCTCCCCTTGTAAAACACTGCTGTTGTGCCTTTAAGCATGGCACTCCTTTAGGGGAAAGCGATGACTCAAATTACCCAGACACACAGGGTTTTTGCAACATGGAGACATATCCTTTGAGATTATTCCCCTTGTTGAATACTAAACAAAGTTATTTATACCTTCAAACAAAAACAAGATTTTTTTTTATCCTAAAACAATGATGTAAATATGAAAAAGATCTACATTTCAAATTAATGCATCTCTGCTCACAAACCTCCTTGATGAGCCTTTGTAGTCTCTGTATGTATATTTGTGTTTTGTTTCATGTATGTCATTTTTATGTAATTTTTTGTGTGTGTGTGTGTGTGTGTGTGTGTGTGTGTGTGTGTGTGCGGTCATGGGAGTGTCTTTTTCCATGTGTGCATCAAACTGTTTGTGTGTGTGTGAGTTTGTGTGTGAAATCCCACTTGGCGCAGTCGCTCCAGCAGAACGGGGATGCCCGCCAGTCTCTTGGCAGTCCTCTGGTAGTCACGGTAACGAAGCACGAGACGCACCAACTCCGGATCTCTGGTACTCACCGCCTCCTGAAGAACTGCGAGTGAGGGAGAGAGGGAGAGAGAGAGAGAGAGATGGAGAGTAAAACAGAGCCAATCACTCAGACCTCATCTAAAATTTATGTACATGAGCAATTTAAGGGGGGCAGTGAGAATTGCCCAAACTGAAGTAGGCCAAAGGAAAAGCTGGTACGACCAATTACTGCGGCTCACCCATCATTCATCAGACCGCCACTTTGCTGCTAATCTTACAGGCTGTTGTACACTTATACACATTTATATAACGATTACCTTTCTTTTCCCTTATTAGCAAACGTGAGTAAAGGCTAACACACACAGACATATATATATATAAACACAGGCACAGCCATCTAGATGTAGCTGGATTCTAATAATGAGTGTAATCTATTGCACCTACTGACAAGACACAGTAATCAGATTAGCAGGGACAAAAGAGGATTACTATGATACTCTGCAACCATAGACTCACAGAAATATCCATGACTATAACACTTAATCCATCACCATCAAGACAAAGGAGCCTCACGTTAGATGCAGGGGGGTGACAGCAAACACAAGCACCTAAGGATGTCCACACATTTTCACAGTGCAGTAGGTAAGGGATGTCTGGCAGAAGGCACAGTTGTCGTTTTTTTGCGAAAGCGATGGTGATGATGAGTGTTTGTATTTTTCAAACCAATGTGAATCATCAAGAGGACAAAATTGTTGTCTACTCATCAGTAGCCATGAAATAATAGAGCCAGTGGGAAATGTTGTGGGCCATTTTGCACATATAGTATATCATACATTATCATACATTATATAATATTATAGTCCTCTTATTGTGACCAAAGGGGATTACAACCAAAACATTTTCAGATTTTGGGGATTACTGCGGGTTACTGCAGATGAAAAGGCCATGCTAATCTCTTGTGGTCTGCAAACATTTTCTGGGCATCTTTGAATAATAAAATAAAGCACATCACAGAATGTGCCAAGCAGCCTCTTTTTTACTTCCAGTTGGTCTTCATAATAAGATTGACATCACTTGAACTTGTTAATGTCAAAGGTGCTAAAAGTAACATTTTAGGGGCCAGTCACACACCAAAACATGTAACAGACCGGCCAAACTACTAGAAGATACCATGTCAGTGTCACGTTTTTCCTTGCCAAGATGTGAAAAGTACTCGCGTGAATGGAGGTGCAGTATAAAGAGTGACAAAATGCATATAGGGAGGGGTGGATGAATGGGGCAAACAAACCCAGGAGACTGATGTTCAGGTTTCCTGTGAAACCATGAGACAACATCGACTTACTTTACCAAATGTACTTAACATAACTTACGATCTTATCGTTTTATTGCCTAAACCTTACCAAACTGCATTCTCAGCAAACTGTAATACTATAATAAGAAGAAATGATAGATACATGGAGTAAAAATACCATATTTTTATCCCCCAAAGGACACAAAAGGGTTTATGGGAAATGTGGGTCATAAGTTTTAACCACTGGTTAGAGGTAGAAACTACCAATTGTCTCCACCATAGTTTCATTGTTTTCTATAAATATATGTCAGTGTCATTAAAATAAAATGCTGTATGTAGCACCTTTAAATTGAAACACACCCCAAACTCCAACACACCATCCAATAATGCATTATGTATGCTGCACATTACACATGCTACCATAAAACTATACTCAGTCTCCTCCGCAAAACACACACACAAACACACACACACACTCACCGGTCCATCCATTGCGGTTCTCCTTGCTTACGTCAGCTCCTTGCTGCAGCAGGACCCTGGCGCAATCCAGGTGGCCCAGCGTGACAGCCAGGTGGAGAGGAGTTCGACCACGAGGGTCCAGAGATTCTAAATCAGTCTGGATGGAAGAAGAAGAAGAAGAAGAAGAAGAGGAGGAGAAATAATAGAAAAAAGAAGGGAGAGAGAGGAGAGAAAGAGAGAACATTTAAAACAAGCAGACGTAAAGAGTTTTTGGGGGGGAGTGAGTGAAAAGGGAAGAGGAGCAGACAGAGAGAGAAATGAAGTAGGAGGAGAGGAAATTGGGGTTAATTGCGTATCATTGTAGTGCTCTTCTAGCTCAGACAGAGGGGGAGGGAGAACTAGAAAAATATAATAGAGACACAAGTGTGAAGATGACGACACAGAGATGGAAAGAAAGACAGTGACAGGTGCTAATTGATCTGTCACCACCCCAACATGGCTGGGTGCTGCACTCTTGTATCCCACTTATTTTCTGGGCTCGATGGCCTGGGTTTAGCTAAACACAGACAGCGCTCTTTTAAACAAGCCTCCACACTCAGAGCTTTTTAAGCAGCCTCCTGTCTGCTATTCTTTAAATCTTGGAACATTAAGGTTCAAAGAAAGTTACCAGTTTGACTCCTGACATGGAAAGGTGAGCAGGTGAAGAAGCCCACATGAGGAGCACAGTTCTCAACCTGCCATGCCATCGGGTAACCTGCAGCCTCTTTGAGACCAAAAATACATGTTTTTTTTCTTTCTCTGAACATGTGATAGTGTGTAAGTCTGGCAACAACATTGATGAACAAAAAGCATGATTAATGCTTGGGGCTTCACTTCAGCTCTCAGCTCCACTCTGTATTTAGAAGCATGTCAACAAGACCTCATTTGTCAGCCATATTACATTAGTGTTAATCTGTCATATCAATCATACCAGAACTCGGTAATACTAAAATTAAAAAGAATCATTGCAGGGGGCTTTGCAGGGGGCTCTCAGACATATCAAAAGACATTAGGTAGACATCTATGGATAATTTAAGATGTTATAGAATACTAACTTATTGATGTCAGTTTTTGGTGCATCTTTAAACAAATACATCTAAAGTGGGGGTATTAGGCCATATGATTTTAATGCGTATGCCTAATTTTGAGCCCTGACTCATGCTTTTTCAGGCCAAGTAGTTTTGGAGAAAGCACTCATTTGATTTCTTGCCTGTTACAGCCAGAAGACGAATAGCTTAGCTTAGCATAAAGACTGGAAGCAGAAACAGCAAGCCTGGCTCCGTCCAAAGTAAAAAAAAAATCCACCCACCAGCACCTCTTAGGTTTAGTGAAGTGTTGGTCAGTGATTTTGTGAATAATGCTAGCATGTAACTCCCATTGGACAAATAAGGTATAAATCATCAGGCTTAAGAGGTGTTTGTTGTTGTTGTTGATGTTGTTGTACAGGTGTCAGTCCAAAATGACTGCATGTGTCACTTTGAAACCTATTAACCTAAACCTATTCTACAATATCATATAGACAGCCTAACATGTCATTATTGATCAGAAAGACTGAGAATCCCTGTTGCTGTGTCGAACAGCGTAAACGCCCGTGTTACTTACAATCTGCTTATCACTACATGAACTGTGGTGCGTGTACATCTGATGAGATGTCATGTCTCTTCACAAATCATTTGATTTAATCAACCACTGGCTGTATTGCTCTGCATGAAACTGCCCATCCCTCTCTCTGTTTGTTGCCTAGGCTGTTCAGTGCACCACTGTTTTCATGTTGCCTCTCTCTGCAGTGTGCTCCTTCAAAATCAGCAACTTTTACAACACTGATCTCAGATCTGCCATCCAATTAAACAGAGCCGCTGACAGCCACAGGATGTAGGCTGATCCAAGGTCAGTTCTGTCAGTCCATTGCGGGCTTGAATTCTAATTAAGGATTAGTCTCAGAGATAAGTGTAGTTTGACGTAGAATCAGCACTTTAATAAAGACCTTAAGGAAGCTGTGGACAGTTCTTTCTAGGAATAAAAATGAAACCATTTGGAGAACATTGTGGGGGTTTGAGTGTGTTTGTAATATTAATATCTACAGTATCTCAGAAATATTGCTTAGTAGGTAAATAGTGGATTCAGAGAAGAGGCCTGACTCCTTGTTGATCCACATACATTCAGTCGAGTAGGAAATGTATTAAAGGGCAATTTCTAAGCGACTGAGAACAGACCAAACCAAAAAAAAGCGCAACTTAATAAATGGAAGCAGCCCTGAATGTTTACTATGCTCAGTCTATAATATTCTAATAAAAATGACTGGCAGCTACAGTCCAACACAGGTCAACAGAAACACACACAGTGAGCAGAGCCAGGAAGACTCCACAGTAACATTATCAATCAGTTACTGCAGCCCTCTGTTTATGGTATTTGCAAGGGAAATGAGGAAAACCGCATGGGATACACACAAACATGGATGGGTGTATGAATGAAAGTACAGACACGAAGAGACAATTTCAAATATTCACATACACTCACATGCTCTTAAAATGTTTCAATACGTACTCGATTGAGTTCAGTAAAACATAACTAAATAACAGGAACCTGATCTCATGGCTTCAGTGTGTTAGTGGGTGTGCTAACTCTGCACAGTCTCTAACTATCCACTCTCCGTTCTTCAGTTCTTTCGAAAGCAACCCTGACGAGAAAGAGTAAGAGACAGCCATAAATAATGTGGCTAGAGAAATTTCTATTGTAAGAAACTGTCTGTCAGCAACAACGCTAACACATAAGACAGGGAAAGATGGAGAAAGAGAGAAAAGAGAAAAAGAGCGATAGATTGATGTTGCAAGTGATGGCTGTGGCAAACAAAGATATGGGGAGGGGTGAGGAAAGTGAACAGAAGGAGGAAGAGAGTGAGAAAAGGGGAGCTGAAGGAGACAACAACATGCAGGAATCCCTCAGGAACTGTGAAGACTTGGGAATAGAGAGAGGCAGCGTCACAGCAACACAGGAGAGAAAAGAGAGCAGTCAGCTTTGTTTATGTGTGTGCTGGATTATGGGTGTAAATAATATGAATATGGCCACTTTCAGTGCTGTGTGTGTGTGTGCATGTTTAACACAAGCAGTGTCTCAAAGGACTGACAACATGTGCTTAGACAGCACAAATGTGACGAGCTGTCAATGTCACAGGAAGAAAAGTTTAAAGTAAGGCGTCCATCACTGAAACAACATGAGAGAAAGAGACTGTGCAAGCAAAACCCACAACTGAATATTAATATGGAGTCTTGGAAAACATTTTCCGCTCAAATGGAAATGGTATTTTGTGAAGAAAACCCCTTCACATATTGTTGTAAGCACATGAAAGAGAGAAAAGAGAGAAAGACTGGAACAAAGCTGATGGTAAAAAAACAGATGAGAGAAAGAGGAAAAAAGGGCAACTTGGCTCTACTTTAATTTTTTGTCTTTTTATGGCACTTGCACCGTCTCACAGCTGTCCTTTCATCCATTGCTCCCCCGTTTAAGTGGCTGTATGTTAATGTTGGTGATTATCAGTTTAAGCTTATTTTACAGCTGTGCTCGATTTCAATGACTCTAGATACAAGAGCTGAGGGGGAATGGCTTGAATGCAGCATAAAAACACAAGGGGAGCTGGGGAGGTGTGGAAGAGGGACGCTAACAAGGGGGCGAGGATAAACAGAAACATGGTAAGGTGGCCGGAGACAGAAAGGGAGGGAGAAAGAAGAAAGGATAGCAGTGGGGTGATTATAGAAGAAAGGGAGGGCGCAGAAGGAGACAGGTCGGAGAGAGTACAGGATGCTGCCAGAAAACAGTATGTACAATGTATAACACAGGATGACAGGGAAACAACAGGACAATCCACTGAAGTGTAGTGTGTGTAGCTGCTACCCTCTCTCCTCAGGTACAACTGATGTAGCTCTAGTCTTGGTAAAAAAAAAAAAGGAAAGAATAGGAGAATATATTTCACCTGTCTCCCTGGCTTTTATTTTTCCCTAAAGCACTTTTCTGTGATGCATTAAACTATAGGTTGCCTGGGCCTTATTCCTATTTTTTGACCTTATATAAAGTCAGGAGGGTCTTGACTAAAAGCATAATTCATATTCTCACTTACACCTTCACTGACAGTTCTGGAGTTCGGAAGGGGCCAGGCAACCCTAATTTGGATCATGGTCTCGATCTGGCAGCCTCGCCATCATCCGCTCTCCTTTATTATCCCTGGTAAACCAACAGTGCAGTACAACACCTACCCCCTTGTCAGATTTTCAAATCAGCACAATTCTGTATGTGAGAAATGTGTTGTGATGACACCTTCAAGCACTATCAGAAAAACAGCCTGTCTCAAGTAATTCGCTGTAGCTCATTTGGTCCAATTTCCATTAAAAGTAGCCGGGACAGACAGAAATTGAATATGGTGACAGACGGAGGTGAGAGTTAGCAGAGCACAGACAGAGATGTAATTTACACTGTGAATTCTAGATAACATTTAAGACAGTACAGACCTTACTGATGGGGAAAAGGAGGGGGGATGCGAGTGGAGACACAAAGCGACATGCAAAGTTATTTGTTGAGCATTTTTAATGTGCTGGAAGGTAACACACACACACACACACACACACACACACAGAGACACGGGAGTACCGCTCAGGGCTAATGTCCTCCCACCACTACACACTGACCTGCAGACACACTGACATACTTACCTATTCACATGTAAGTAATGTTCGGTTTAAAAACAAAGCACACAAACAAACACGCACACACGTTTTTAATGTGCTGAGGGGTAACACATACACACACACACACACACACACACACACACACAGACATAAACTCCAAACTAAATCATGAACCCTGACTTGCCCTCCCCCATTAACAAAATAGGAACTCTCTGGAGGAAATAGTTGTTAACAACTAATGGACCATGTACTCTTTCTCTCTGTCTCTCTCATTCTTTCTCTTTCGTACACACACACACACACACACACACACACACACACAGAGGGTAGACTCATTGGCCTTGTTTGACTTGTGTGGTTTGGTAGTGACAGTAGGGACATTATGTCATGCCTGCTTGTCTCTAAGCGCCCACTCTGCACTCGACAATGAAATCATTATGGA